TTTCAGATGGATTTCCACTAAAGTATTAAGCTCATACACTTAGTGCCAATCTAGCCTTTACAACAAACTGGCCTAGATTGAAGGTGTTTCACTTTGGAGTACACACCACTCCAAGTTACTCAATCCTTAGAATTTTCTCAATTGATCCAGTGGGGATCAAAGATACTCTATCTATCTATCTATCTATCCACACTTAGGACTTGATAACACAATCCTTCTAAGTGTTTACAACTGGTTTTATGATTTCTAAGAAAACTGGTCTCCAACTAAGAACTAAACTTCCAGAATATATCAATGAGAAATTCTAACTTGGAAATTTAGTGAAGCATGAGTTTAATTAGAGAGCAAAGTTAAACAGACACTTTTCTCTTTTGCTAGATATCTCTTGAATGCTTAGTAAGATTTTCTCTACTTAGACGACTCAAAAAATTACTCAGAACTCATGCTTCAGCCTATATTTATAGGCTTCTCTAGTTTGATTGATCTCATCCGTTGGTTAAGATGAATCAATCTATGACGTTGAACGTGTTGACTTTTGTCTTCTTGTGCTGGAGCAGATGTTGTGGATTTCACGTGTCTTCACTGATGAGCCGTTGAAACATCCTTTTAGGATCATTCTGACGATTTTATTGTGTGTGTCCCATGCTCCGGGTCCCTTTGTACGTTTTTAGCATTAAATGCATATCAAATTTTGTCTTCAATCATACACATGCAGTATATATGATATGCGTACATTTTTTACCTTATTTTTGTGACAATATTAATTTGTGTGTTAAATAAATATATACCGGTAGGATTTGAATATCCTATTAAGGTAAATAAGAATTACTTTATTGCATTTTAAATTTCTAGTATAATTTTATTTGTCACAAAAATTGTACATTGATTTGTCACTTATGATTAATTTTGGACACTGACGCTCAAGGTAAATAAGACAATAGGCCAAAATTGGGTACTAACACATATGTATTCATTTATCAATACATTAGGCCAACTACCTTGTCTCATTCGTTCATGCCATCAATTTCTCTGCAATATAAGGACAATAACATTTTACTTATGGATTATTGATTAATAAGCTAATAATTGCATTTTATTCATTTATGGATTACTCAAGGATAAAACCAAAATAATTGCAGCAAAGAGGTACTTGATTAAGGAATTTTAACAAACAATTTCCTTACAAACCTGTAAAATTGGAACTCGGTTTATAATGGTATAGGATTTAGAAGAATAAACTACCTCGTTATTGGATTTCGGCTAAGGAGAATCGTGCAAGAGAAGAACAAATTTGAATTTGGCTGGATTAGAAGCAAGGAGGATTCTATATGAATTGGCATTCATTTCTTATTAAAGAGAGGAAAGTGGTTTCTCCAGCGAGAATGGCATCAAAATGATTCAAAAGTATGTTCCCGGCGAGCCAAAAGAAGGTCCTTTATCCCGGTAGTTGTTCTCCAAGCTATTCCGTGCATCCAAGCCTCTTTCTTTATTCTGCATCTCAAGTTTGACTATTGTCAAATGGAGCTTTAGAGGGGTCATTGTTTATATCATAACAAATAGAAAAGGACTTCATAGATGTAAGAGTACACTGATTGTAAGGAAAAACATAGATGCGTGATAGAGAAGAAGACAAATTGAAACTGAAAAATACCTTTGTGGGAGACCAACTTGAGGAAGCACGGTGGAGCCGTGGAATCCACTACGCTGGTTGCGGAAAGAAAAATGGAATCTTTGATTGCAAAGGAAAATTGCAGAATTAACTGTGCTGAATTTGGACTGGTGTACGTTTCAATCGGCGAAGTAAATAGACTTGGAAGTGACGGAAGAAGGCAGTAAATAGTAAAATAGATTTGGTGAGAGAACATTTATATTAGGAGAGAAGCGGGAAAAATCTGGAGATGGGATTCTCCCATTAGGTATATAGGATTCACAAAAAATCATCTATTAATTTTTGAACCAATCTCATAAAAAATTGTTGCAACATTTTACCAAAAGAAAAAGGGCTAAGAAGTTGTATTCTTATTTTTATCAAGTCATGTAAGGACTGAGATGTATATAAATTAAAATGTCTATCTAGATTCAGTAACATGTATATAAGGCTCCATGTGTTTGTGCACTGAATGAGTACCGTGGGTTGACCATATTCAAATAATAATAACTAATGAATAATTTCACTCATTAACATACACATACTCCATGTGAAATTTAAAATGGATTGATTAACCGTCTTAGATGGTTTTTGAAAGTGGTTATGCTTTCTAATTCAAATGAGGGAGAGAATGATAATTATATGATATATAAAAAGTGATTATGTTTGGTAGTGTTGGCATTGGTTTTGTTGTATAAATGGAGAACTTGTTTAGACTGTTTGAATACCTTGCTTTTGCAAACCACTTTTGATGTAAATTTACCAAAGGGACATATCATAGTCATTCTTCATAAAAACAATGTTGTTAACATAGAGCTGTATAATTTTTTCTTCTCCTTAAATAATACTACGTACTACGTATAATCCAAATAAAATTAAGTATAACTAATGAATTTTATTTTAAAAAATATATATAACTAAATAACAAAATTTGAATTTATATAGAACAAAAGAAAATTAACATAAGAAAAAAATACGACACATGTATGCCCAATTGCATGCAATTTGAAGCTTAACTGCTATAATGGGATAACAGATAATAGTCGCATAAAAGAGCAAATCAACAAACCATAGGTTCATAAAAAACTTAGGACGTGTTTAGTTCAGAGGCTAATGAGCAGTGTTTATTAAACATTGTGTTAACAAGTCATTTTTAATAAGAAGTGTTTAAATAAACACATGTTTACTTCAATATGATGCTTTGCTCATTAACACAAATATATGCTTACTTCATTACATGAGTGAGATATATTTTAATCGTAAAAGGTCAGAAAAAAAATCTCCATCGATTTCTATCGTAGAGTTGTGGTTATAGAGTTCAGGAGCAAAGAACAGGTAAATTCAAATATCCATAAACTCTACTTTATAATCCATTATTTTGTTTTTAGTGGTTTTTGAAAAACACAATCCTATGTACTTCCTTGATGGAGAACAAACTTTTTGGATGAGTTCGCAAATGATTTCCATTTTCTATGATGGACGGTCCTTGCGATGGACAATGGTGTAGCATTAGCATGATGAAGAAGAATGACGAGATGTCAGCAAAAAGTATGGAAGAGACAGTTAGGGATATGCAATGACACAGTGGATAGGAATGTAAATAAATTATTCTGCACGTTGTAATGTAAGGGCAAGATGACCAATATAAAAGAGCTTAGGACACCAGTTGATAAATAATACACGGGGGAGCAGAAGTTTAATAAGCGGACATATAAACGGCGTGACTCCTTATTAAACATAAAGTTTACCCGCTCAACTTGTTTACTTCACATGGGAGTATTACTTACATACTCCCTTAAAGATATCCATGCTAGGTACAATGGCGAACCCTCAGAAGTTGATCACACAATCCCTTTAAAATCATGAAAGGTGAAGATTTTATTCTTATTTCCGTATAAGAATGTGGAAATGAAATGAGAAATTTGAAACTAAAGTGGAAAGGGAACCAAAAAGTGCTCAATAAGATGGAAGGTTGTAGTAAACGAACGGGGTGAAAGAGAAGAATTAGTACTGTATAATGATGTAGAAAGCGAAATGATATGATGACATAATTGTATGGTTAGGAAGAAAATAACATTTTAAATATTATTTAGTTCAGTATAATAACTACAAGTACTAAACGGAAATGAAAGTGAAATACAAAAAAATACAAATCTTTTAAGCACCCCCGGCCCAAATGACGAACCCTCATATATATATATATATATATATATATATATATATATATATATATATATATATATATATATATATATATATATATATATATATATATATATATATATATATATCCAATAACTCTTTTCAAAAGACTAATTTGAAAATTTCTAAACCTAGAAGAGCCGATATCTTACAAAAATTGACTACTCCCATTTTTAGATAAATCAATTACCAAAATGTGTTGTTAGTTTTGAAAGAAAGAAAAACAGTAAGCCACGTATAAAATTAATGGATAAAAATAGGCATTCAGCATTTTCTTTTGTTTAGGTAAAAATATATTAATTTCAATTGGATATAACTCAGAGTTATAAAAAAATGTTCTTTTTGTCGGAAAATATAGACCGAAAACATGTTTAGATAATGTTAGTTCAAAATTAAGACATACTCAATAAATTAGAATATGCATGTTAAACAATCTTCTATTATACAAAGCCAAAAGAAAAAATGAACAGTGTTCCCGCCCAAATGCAGTGCACTATTGGGTCGGGTCGGGTCACTATGGGTGCACAAACGGGTCCTGGGCAGGCCCACTGATGCTCTTTAATGCTTGCCACTAAAATAGTACAGATTGTACAAACATTTAATGTGAAATCTGATGTGATGATTAAAAAATGAAGTAAATTGTACTTCAAATCTTAGAAGTAAACCTTGAGCCACACAAACATTTAATGCATTGTACAATCTTGGCATAACAATATTAATTTAGTCATTGTACTTGATAGTTCTGAACAATAAATGGAGCCACACAGACATTCTTGAGCCTCACAACAATAAATGCAATGTACTACATAATCTCAATGTAAAAATTGAGTGGGTATTTGTACTTGATAGTTCTGAATTGGAGCCACCCAAACATTTCTTGAGCCTCACAAACAATAAATGCAATGTACTACATAATCTCAATGTAAAGATTGAGTGGGTATTTTTAACCCTTGGTTAACCCAATTGATTCACCTTATAATTAATGCATTGTACTACAAATCTTAATATTGAGATTGTGTGGTATTTTCAACCTAGGTTATTCTCTCCTTTATCCAATATAAATACCCAAGCAGGGGATGACCACAACATACAACAAACCGGTATTCAGCAGCTGTATTTTTAAGTTCAAAAGTTCAAAATCAGTGCAATGGCAACCGCTTCATCAGCACAAGGGATGTGGTCCTTGCTCAAGGATATCGATCACACAAAGACGACCTGGGCAATCAAGGTTCGGGTAGTTAGGGCATACGAAGTTCCTCCACACTCTAAGGGCGGGGAGACTCTTGAAATGGTTTTGCATGACGCAGAGGTATGGTTTGTAACATCTAACTTCTATGGCGTCTTTTGCTCAACTTTTCTTAATCCAATGTAAATTCTTACTAGGGAGATCGGATTCACGCCATTATCAAGAGGCCGCAGATAGCAATGTATAAGCCTAATATTACAGAGAACAAAATTTATGCCATAAGAAACTTTTTGGTGCTTGACAATTACCAAACAGTGAAGACTACCAGTCATCCCTACATAATTCAGTTCATCTCAAAAACCCTGTTGAGGGAAGATACGAAGACGGAAATGCCTATGATGGTCTATGATTTTCAGCCTTTTGATATGCTGCATGCCCAAAGAGTTACCAACGACAAAACTCTAATTGGTGAGTTAGAGTCAAATTTTTCCATACTACATTGCTTGCACAAATATCCTAATTACAGTTTCTATCGTTTAATTATGAAGATGTCATTGGGAAGGTTCTTTCCAAGAGCCTTATCCAGACCCACATAATCAATGGGAGGACTGATAGGCTAATGGAGTTGACTTTGACAGACTCGGAGTAAGTTTTACAACTTAAACGATTTTAGCAAAACAAAAGACACATGCTCATTGAATGAAACTTTTCTAAACTACAGGGGTAACAGATTGGGCGCCGTATTGTGGAACAAGTACATAAACCAGTATCTGGATTATGTTAATGCTAATGAAGGAGTGCCTGTCTTCGTGATATTTCAACTATGTAGGCCAAAAAGATACCAAGGTTTGAGAAACTTAGCAGCACTCATTATGTAGTACACAGTAGCCAAAGCTTATGGTAGTGCTGTTTTAAACACAGGGATCTTGACAGTGAATTCGTCTTTTGATGTATCAAAGCTCATAATCAACGGGAACACTACTGAGTTTTTAGAGTTCCAAAGCGAGCATGCGTATTAAATCTCCTAAAACTAAACTCTGACTTCCCAATTTCATAAAAAAATCTCCTAAAACTCAAGTATCCTAGAACTAAAGTCTGTTTACCATGCAATATACAGGATCCAGCAGATGGTGATGACACCACGACTCAAACCTGCAACACGCAATGCTCACATGCGGAAGGGAGGGATGATATACTCGGTGGAAATGCTGTCATTACCACCATGGAGGATTTGATGAAGGCAACTGAGGTGTGTCCTGAAGCTAGAGTCATAGATTTCGCATTTTGAATAAATATATCCACTGCTAATAAGAAAATTATACTTGGATAGGAGAATGTTTATTGGGTACTTGCTGAGATAGTTTCTATAGAAAACTATCGAGAATGGTGCTACCTAAGTTGCCCAACATGCCACAAAAAATTGCAACCAGAAGAGGAACGGTTTAGGTGTACAACTTGCAGCATGTCAATTGCAGAAGGAGTTTATCGGTTCATTACTTAACCTAATGTGCTTTTATGGGTGTAGGATGTTCACGTTTTTATTTTAGTAATAAAAATTGTTACTCTGATGATTCAGCTACAAGGTCCGTGTGTGTATTATGGACAACACAGGGTATGGAAACTTTATGTTATGGGACAGGGAATGCATAGAAATTCTGGGTAAAACTTCAGCAAGTCTTAAAGCCGAGGTGGAGAAGGTAACACAATAACCGTTTATCAGACCTTCAATCAATTATGGATGGGCTAACCACATAACTTGGAAAACACAGAAAACCGGGGATCCCAGTCGCTTTCCGGAAGACATTGAAAGCTTGGTTGATATAAAGGGAATTTTCAAAATACAGCTCAGGAAGAAGAAAGGTGAGGAAAATGCCTATAATGATGGGATTTCTCTAGGGGTAGTCAGCATCATAAGAGATCCTAATGTTATCTCAATGTATGAGAAGAAAGAGCACTTGGAAACTAATGAAATTGATGAGAGTACACCAGAAAAGGTATTTAGAAAAATTATTAATTTGTGTATTTGGGCCTTGAATAAATAAAGATGACAACTAACTTAAAATCATTTTTTTGCAGATTGGTTCAAATGCAAATTTAGGAGAAACCTCCATCAGAGAAAAATCAACTGTCAGTAAGGGCAAGGGGAAACGAATTTCGGCAGAAAAGGAGGTAAGCGATCGACTGTTAAGAGGTATATAATATTTTCGTTCAAAATTCTGTAGAGGGTTCACTAAACAGCTATATTACTGCTAGGTTTTTGCACCAATTGAGCTAACCGACACACCTACGGAATGTACCCAAAGGGAGGTCAATGTTGAATTAAATGAAGAGGTCAAAAGAAACTTGAATGATGAATTTTCAAGCACTGGGAATGGCAAGAAGCTGAAGATCAAAATCAAACAGGAACCGCTCTAGAGCGGGTTCAGTTCATGAATAACATTGATGATATTTTGTTGGCACCTACTATTGTGTTTATTGTTATTTGAAAACAGTTTCATGCACAGGACGTATGCCTTCTCTTTTTGGGATAACTGAAAACTGTGTAACAGACCATTAAACCCTACTTTATGACTATTGTGTGGTGTGCTATTATGTTTTGACTATGTTTAGGATGTTTTGTATCTATATGGGGCATTTTTGAAGGATTTCAGAGAAGGGAGATTCCTAAACCATTTAGGGAAGTTTATGCTCCTAATATCTTTGTATTTTATAAACAGGCCTTTGTTTTCACATTAACGCTTTACTAATGGTTTCCAGGATGATGAAAAAGTTTTGGGTTAAGAAAAATGCTACCAATGGTGTGAAGAATGGCTTAACTGCTAGACGAGAGCATGGGATGGTGTGAATAAACGATTGAGTGGTGTGCTATTATGTTTTAACTATGTTTAGGATGTTTTGTATCTATATTGGGTAGTTTTGCAGGATTTCAGAGAAGGGATATTCCTAAACCATTTGGTGAAGTTTATGCTCCTAATATCTTTGTATTTTATAAACAGACCTTTGTTTTCAAACTAAGGCTTTACTGATGGTTTCGAGGATGATGAAAAAGTTTTGGGTTAAGAAAAATGCTACCAATGGTGTGAAGAATGGCTTAACTGCTAGACGAGAGCATGGGATGGTGTGAATAATGGCTTAACTGCTAGACGAGGCATGGGATGGTGTGAATAATGGCTTAACTGCTAGATTTACTATGAAACATGTAAATGTGTAAACTCTAAGAGGCATCACGTAAACAAGTAAATGTGTACTCTTATGATTTCAAAAGTGTCACATTTGGATTGGAAATGCTAATACAAGTGTATTACATTTAAAAATCTATGCAATATTCTTTGGTTGCAATTTGACAATTGGCAATTTGATTCAACAAGTTGCATAATTTTAAATAACCAAGTGAGGTAAAGAAGTTCATACCTTAGTCTTTTGCAGAATGGAGGGTTACCTACAATCCCTATTTACTAAATAATATTACAAACCTTTTAAATTTTACATAAATGGCAACCTTCTAAGGTCCCAGAACTATTCCTATTACAATTTTCTAGATAGCGTTTTTAAACCTGTTATTAAATTTATGTATTAAAGCTTATTCGAAATTGTTATTCAAAAATAAAAACTTGGTTAGCCATTGCTAAGAGTTATTATTATAAATCAATACACTTGGGAGTTGTGGTATCTTTGACAAAATTGGAAAATAGAAATCTGAAATTAAGTCCATTTTTTGGGAATAAAAATGTGGTAATAATATCTGCCCAAAATGTCATTGAAGTGTTTGTATTTTGAAATTCTTCAAAAATAGAACCATGTCTAAGTAAATATATTTAGTATGGAATGATGTCAAGTGACAAGTAAATATTTGTAAAGATGTCAAAAGCTTGAATATAATAGAAATTTAACCAACATGTGAAAGGGATGTTTGTTTCTGAATGGTATGGAAAGATATATTTAGTATGGATAAAAAGATATGAGAAGTACATGATTCCACTTAGCATTTTGGGCATGTCTATTTCGGCCATATATGTATCCCAGGTATTTTGGGTTTCAAATACGTGAGTTTTAAAAAGGCCTTACCCTTGAAATAAATAAATAAATTAAATTAAATTGAATCAATACATATCCAAAGGAATACTGAAAAGTAATAAAAATATATTTATGCACGAAGTGCAAATGGATTTAGCAGAATAATAAAAGATATTTATTGTAAAAGTTTATAAAGAGTATTTAGGAGAATCAAGATCCAAACCTGCCCAAGTTCCCTGTGTACTAATGAAGGTACCAACTTCCAATGTTGGAGATTGTGTGGCTCAAGATATTTATTGTAAAAGTCAAGAGAGCATTAATGAGTAGTATAATAGATTTAAAACTTTGTACTTTAAAAACACATTATTTCTTGGGAGCTAGGTTATATATTTTTACTTAAAAAATAAGGGACAAAATATATAAAAACATTAAATTGTTTTCAAATAATCGGAAATTATTTTTGGAAAAGTATTCAAAAAATTTGAAAATAAATTTTAGAAAAATAAATTATAACGCGAATATCAAAAAATTATTATAAAATATTCATACAACAAGTTGGTTTTAATTTATTTGATGTAAAAGTTTATAGAGTATTTAGCAGAATCAAGATCAAAACCACCCAAGATAGCTGTGTACTTGAAAGCTGCGGGCAATTAATGCAGGCAACAACTTCCAATGTTGGAGATTGTGTGGCTCAAGAGAGCACAAATTTAAAACTGTATTTTAAAAACACATTATTTTTACTAAATAAATAAAGTACAAAATATATTAAAAAAATAAAATAATTTCAAATACGTAACAATAAATGTTCAGAAGCTCAGAAGCTCATGATAGTTCTGAACTGGAGCCACACAAACATTTCTTGAGCCTCACAAACAATAAATGCAATGTACTACATAATCTCAATGTAAAGATTGAGTGGGTATTTTTACCCCTTGCAACATTAAATGCAAAACCGTTCATCAAGTACAATGCCCGTTCATCAAGTACAAGGGACAGTCATTATTGTAAAGCACTTGAGTATCACTACTCAAAAATATTAATACAACACAGTGTATTAATTCTATGATGGAATGTAGGTCTGCTGGAATTAAATGAAGATGTACAACAAATATTATAAAATATTCCAGAAAGGTAACTTAACAATATTGTAAAGTGAGTGGCTATATAACTCCCAATGCATTAACTCCATGCCCAGAAGCTCATTTATGAGCTCAACCAAAAATTCTAACAATTGAAACTGTGAGAAAGGCTCAAGAATATCTACGACCAGTGCAATTCAGTGTGAAGAAAATGTATGTTTCATAACTCATTATTGATAATGCTATATGAAACTATGCAATGAACACTAATACCAAATGCATTTAAACTGATTACAACACTTAAAATCCTTTTATTTGTAAAAAATAATTGTATTTTTTTTCTTTGTAATGAAAGATGAGAAGCTGTTCATGCAACAAATGTTCTCAACCAAAATGTCATACATGTGGACATTATCCTGGACTCTCTTGGTTGCAACCATGCTCTTTGTGTAATGGGAATTTAAGTCACTTTTACTGCATGAGGCCAGTAAACAAAAATAGGGGTACTGGCAAATACTTATGCAAAGATTGTCAAGAATGGATAGATGCAAAACCAATGATACCTAGAAGATCAGTGCGGACAGTCACACTTAATCAGAAGTACTTCAATGAAAAACTTTGTGTGGGGATGAATTTTAGTTGGCTTAACTAGGAATGACCTTAGTAATGCATTTATATGATTAAAATATGCATATGTTTTTGCTGGATATGTTAAAGCCAATTGGAATGAACTTAGTAATGCATTTCAATGAATGAAATATGCTTATGTTTTTACTGGATATATAAGAGGGCAAAACAGATTAGAATTTTGTTGATTGGGTGGATAGTATGTTCATGCCATGTTATATTCCTAAAGGGATGTGTCTATGTAATCCATGGTATGCTTTATGCAGACCATGTCATGCTTTATGAAATCCAATGTTTAATGTTGTATGCATATGCAGTTTTGAAGTTTCAGTGTTTCAGTTGTGCAACAGCTGAAGAATGTTTTAATTTATGCATTTGACAGATGTTTTAGTGTATAGAAAAGTTCAAAAAACCAATTTCGATGCAAATGCATATCATAAGAAATTACTCATTAGTTGAGATGCAGACTATTAAGGATCAATGGTGATCTGGTGTTTCAACTTATCAGGCCAACGGACTGCCAGACCACGCAGTTCCGAAGGCCACTTTGGTGGCTGGCAGGGCATCTGACAGTCCTATGGGATGGGCCATGAAAACCAGAAATACCAAATTGAACCGGTTTGAAAATTTGTTTATGAAAGCGACAAAAAGAAATAAACGTCTTAGTATAAATAAAAAGTATTCCAGTCTTCCAAAAGCTGTATTAACACCATGTCGTTTTGGTTTCAAAACAATTCTTCAATGAAGAGGATCACCAAAAGCACAATAATCAACCCTAAAAGAAGCGTTGAAGACCTGACTAACAAAGGTAGTTCAATATTTTCAAAATAATTTTGGAAATTTGTAATGGAAAATTAGTTAAATATGCATTTATGATTTCAGTGGTATAACAAGAATATTATAACATAATTTTAATTACATACATTACAGATACTACATATAATAATAGTGTTTTGATAATATTAATAGCAACCCAGCCCGATAAATAAATTATAAAACTAAATCAGACCAACAATGTTTTATTAAGGGCAGGTTCTTCCTAATTAAGTTCAACACCCCAGCATATAGAAAATTTTAGTAAAGATGTATATTTGAAAAGACCAAAACACAGAATACAAAAATCTTTTATTAAGGGCAGGTTCTTCCTAATTAAGTTCAACACCCTAGCATATAGAAATTTTTAGTAAAGTTCAGAGAACCAATTTCGATGCACATGCATTTCGATTCACATAATACAAAATCTTTTTTAACACAAGATAACTCAGGAGCCCCAGGAAAATTCCAACTCTAGGTAAAATATGAATCTGTAAAACCAGATTCTATCTATAAGTCCAAAACAACAACCTTTCGTAGATGTAAAACAGGCTTTCAAAGGCCATTAACAAAACAGACCGGTCACATTTACGCCAAAAAAAATAGGCTTAGTAAATAATCCG